TGCATTCATTTGAGCCAATATTATTATTATCATTCTATATATATAAAGGAAAATGTCATTACTTATAAATAAACACATGTATCCCAATGTATATATATATATATATATATATATATATATATATATATATATATATATATATATATATATATATATATATATATATATATATATATATATATATATATATATATATATATATATATATATTTTAATGTACAGTTTTTGTTTTAACTCAATGTTGCCCCACCTCGTCCACTTTTCTTTCTCAGAGCTCTTCTCCAGGCTGATGTTGTGCTTCTGCTTGGAGCCAGGCTGAATTGGATGCTGCATTTTGGTCAGCCACCTAGATTTGACCCCGATGTCAAGATCCTTCAGGTTTGAAAATGAGCAATGGCTAAATTGTCTATTTGTGGAAAATCAGTTTTGCCTCTGACACTACCAAAATAATGTTAGAAATACCTCACTGGTAAAAAAAAAAGCAAGTGAAAATATCTTAATATTGTCGTGCCAGTGCAGTTCATTTGTTTATCTCCTCCACTGTGTTACTCTGTTGCTGCAAATCGTGTGCTGTGATAACAAGAGTGTGCTCTTTGTGCAGGTTGACCTTTGTCCTGAGGAGATGGGAAACAATGTGAGGCCTGCTGTTGCTCTCCTGGGAGACATCAACGCTATTGTCACACAGGTAACTACAACTCAGCGGGCCCACATACTCTTTCTGATGAATCCCTCTCCTTTGTGCGCTTATGTTTGTTCTCCATTAAATATATCCTTACAGCTCATATGTGTGTTTGTGGAAATGTCTTTGATTCTTTGTTTGTGTGCTTGTTTTTCAGCTTCTGGAAGGCGTACATAAAGATGGCTGGAAATATCCCTCTGACACAGAGTGGTGGGGCACACTGAAGGACAAAATTGCAGCTAATGCAAAAATATCCATGGTGAATTTAGACTCCATTTTGAATGATAATGTTGCTCACTTTGTTTTTCATATTGTCACTATTTTTAATGTATTATTATTCATGCATTCTTGCCCCCTCACTATCCACAGGCGATGGCTCTTCAGTCGACTGTGCCCATGAACTACTACACAGTGTTTCATCATGTTTCCCAGCTGCTGCCACAGGACTGTATCATTGTCAGTGAGGGTGCAAACACTATGGACATAGGACGCACTATGTTGAACAACTACCTACCTCGACACAGGCAAGGCAGTTTTATTGTAACGGCACATAAAGACACACATTAGTCGATTATGTTATATGTCCCCAAATGTAGATAGAAAAGAAGACAGACATGGTATAGGCATCTGAAAGACTTTGTGGAATATTGTCGGAGCTCTTCTCATGTAAAGATTATGCTTTACAAGGATTTGTGCCAAAGGCTTTTAGAGGAAGAGACTCTAAGGTTTGAATACTGATACCAACTGGAACATGTATTTGTTGAAACGAAGTACCTAATATGGGATCAGGTTGTAAGCTAATCCTGGTGATGTGCAGGTTGGATGCTGGTACATTTGGAACAATGGGAGTAGGCCTTGGCTTTGCTATAGCCGCAGCGGCTGTGGAGAGGAGCGAGAACAGAAACCAGAGGATAGTCTGTGTGGAAGGAGACAGCGCTTTTGGATTTTCTGGCATGGAAGTAGAAACAATGTGCCGGTGGGTTGGTTTCCTCCCTTTCTACCCCACATACTCTATACACTTCAATACCCCACTGTTACTTAATTGCATATTGTCTGTTTTGTTTTACAGGTATAATCTCCCTGTGGTCATCATTGTGGTCAATAATAATGGCATTTACAGCGGAGTGGATCCTGAGACATGGAAAGAAATGGAAAAGATGGGAGATCTGACCACTATGTGAGTCCCACAACATCAGTCCCAGCAATTTACTATTCGCTGTAATGGTTTCCTACATGTCATCAACTGTGATGTAATGAAATGTATCTCATGTCCTTATGTTGCTTGTCAGAGCCCCTCCTGTGACCCTCCTACCTGAGGCACGCTATGATGAGGTCATGACAGCATTTGGAGGTCGAGGGTACCTGGTGAGGACGGTGGAGGAGCTGCGCAATGCTTTACAGCAGAGCCTGAGTGACTGGGAGAAACCAAGTCTCATCAACGTGCTCATCGACCCCTCTTCCGACAGGAAACAGCAGGTAACTGCCACCGGTCAAGAATATATACAGTAGAGTCGTCACTGTCTCTATGAGAAGTTCATGTCAAAATAAAAGAATCCACTCAAGTTTTATTTTGAAGTTGGAGTCCTTTGAATGGCAGGCAGTAAATTATAAGCATAGATCCTGTTGAAATGCCATGCCCTCTTGTGGTTGTGAGTGAATGATGCTGAAACACCACTTTCCTGCTGCCTAAAACACCGTTGTGCTTTTCTCAAACAATGGTCAATGCCTCAACCAAGGACACTTGGAATTAATTTGTCAAAGGTGAAATCTGCATGTTAATAAAGATAGTCGTTCTTAGAGGGGGATGGCACCACCAACAGATACTGTACACATTTTGACGGTTGTCTGTCTTTCATTAGAACAGAATACCCACTCAATTAGCTTCACCATTAATATCCCTGGCTGAAACCAAATGCCCAGATTTCTGTGCATTCGTGGATTGGACATGTACAGGACGTAAAGCTGCTCAAATACATCCCTTTTGCAGACTTCTAGAGAGACAAGATTAAAGGGTCAGGAACGTGGCAGCGGTCATAACAATTGAGGTCTAAGTTATTTTTGAATACAATAATTGATTCCTTTTATGGTCCAGCACCCTTGCAGACATGACGTGATTTTAGACACGGGAAATTGTGACCTGATGTCTCATATTTACCTGTTTCCCCCTGAGACAGTAGTACAGAAAGGAGATGAACAATGACCCCGATGACATTGACAGTCGCAGCAGCAAAGCCCGGCGAGATTAAAAGCAGCAGCATCTCGGTCATGAGTGCAGAGCAACAAACGGTTTGGTGTTTACTTGGCTCTGGCCTCATCCTTCTAGCTGCATGGCTGACATGCCTTACTGAGCAGTAATCCACACACTCCAGGTGCACTGCAGAACTGTTGTATTCCTCTCACAATCCCTCCACCTCACACCAACCTGACCTTTCTATTTCAGGGTCCCCATAATTAGAAAGCACGGCCCTCTGTGTTTATGTTGAATGTATCTACGCAACCCTTCGCAGACATGTTTGAAGGTTGTATTGAGGGCCGTATCCATGGCGCTGTGCTCTCTGTGGAAAGACTTGTCCTCTTATTAGGTGTGCTGGCCTATTGTTTGCCTCGAGACTGTTATCTGTTTTCAGGTTGTTTTAGAGAGAGCAGGACTTTTTCCTCATATAGCTCTGTAACCTAAGGTCTAATGTAATGCTGTGTTGTTTGTATTGCAGGAGTTCCCTTGGCTCACCCGCTCCAACCTATAGACTGAACCAGGGATCTGCCTCCTCCTCTGTCCAGAACATTATCAGAACAGCAGTGACCGTTTTCCTTATGGAAACTCAAACTGGATCATTATAAAGCTGCTGTAGCTTGTTGTGATTGTTTCCATGAAATAACTGAATCTTTTTTAATCAATTCTTACTACACAGTAGTATTACAAATAACTAAATAATTAATACAAAAATAAAACAATTTTACACATGCACTTAATGTTATTCGTCTTTATTTTTTTGTTTTAAATCTTTATCCATTTTCTTTTCACATAGTTAATATGAAATATTATTAACCTCAGAATCAGTTTTATTGCTATTCTTTTGGCATGCAAGGAATTAGCTTTGTGCATAAACATAGTAAGACTAGTTCAAATTAAAAAATCAAAGCATTTGGAAAATGAAGAAACATAATTATAGAATAGAAGGGAAAAATACAATAAAAAATGATACTATAATTATGTATGAAATATCTAAATAAAAATGGTAAGAGCTTTGTAGTTTTAGGACTGGTGGTTTCATTCAGAAATGTGCAAAATTGTCTAAAGAAATGAAAGGCTCACTACCGATATGCAATGAACATAGATTGAGTCTCAAAGATGTCAGTATATGGATTATTAAAACATTAAAACGCTAAGAAAGTGATTTTATGGTCTACTCAGTGCTGCAAAACAATTCATTCAATTCAATTCGTTTTTGTACAGCACACATTTACAGCCTCCATTGATTTCACACATGGTCAGAAACATCTTTGAACATGGTTAGGGGCTTTTTAGAAGCAGGAGTGGCAATCTTATGAAATGTCTAGATATTTCTGAGAGAGTTCACAGTGTGATAATTTTTTTATTAGATTGTGTATTAGTTATTATCACTTTGCATTATTTCTTACAATCTCCTCCAGATTTAATTTAATAATGTGTGTTCAGTTGTCGACAAGCAAAATATGTATTTATATCACTATAGTTTAAGTGTAAATTAAAGTTACTTGTATTTCTAGTTGTTGTTTTTGTAGGTCTCTCAGCCCCCAAAGAGCCTCATTAGAAAAGCAGCCACTTAATTTAGTCTGAGAGACTGGGCAATAAAACCAATCTGGCTGGGATTAAATGGTCACCACAATGCACAGGGGTTGCAAAGTGTTCTACATCCCAAAACACAGACTAATAAATACAAAGAACAGCCGACTGATGCACTTGTTGTCTCAGGATGTACAGATGACACCTCATGCAGAATCATATTTGCACAAAAGCCTCATGTGTCAGTCATGATACAGTAAGTCTCCCTGTGAGAGCAGTGGAAACAACAAAAGGCACCCCCTGCAGTTGTAAAGGTCTAATATTGGCACTCCAAGCAGCTGGCGGGCTGTCTTCTGTAATTTTAGCGCACACTGATGCAGAGGAAAGGTTTAATAGGCATTGGTCGGCGTCCCCTCTTCGGAGGGCGTAAAGGAGACAGAGCGAGCGGAGAGGGAGGGGAGCAGAGGGAGAGCACAGTGAGGAGAGAGGGAGAGAGAAAGGCAGTGTGTAAGGGCTGCTGTGGCTCAGAAATAAAGTCAGGCAACTATCTGGATCAACATGACTCTTCTAACACTTGGACTGTATCTGCCACTTTTGTTTTGTTATGGCCTGGCTCAGTCCTCTTTTCTGGACAACTTCATGTCAATCCCAGCAGGTAAGATTCTAAAAATCCTGCCCCTGTGTGTGTTTGTGTTTGTACTGTACATACATTACTATGCATGAACAGTTGCTTAGAGAGTTGGTTGTAGAAGCATGGATACAAAATGTCTGGGATTCATTTTGAGCTTGGTGTCTTTGAGAAATACGCTTGTTTTTATTTGTCTTGTCGCCCATGAGGTAGTAGACTGTAAATGCCTCTATAAATAGCGAGACTAGCTCCAGTCCTTCAGTAAGAGGCACAGACACTTCATATCTGTGTCCCGCTCTGAGAACTCTGCTGGATGGGTGTCATTATTTCATATTGCACCTGTTCCCCTCTTGCTTATGCTGCTCATGCATGTTTACACCTCTTTGACTTGTCCAATTTTTACTGTATATGTGTGATATTAGTCACAATACGTGTACCTCAGTTGCCAGTGCATGTCCATGTGTCATTAGTTAAGCATTGCTCTTCTTATTTTGATAAACATGACCTCTTCTGACTGTCTCCTTCTAATTCTGACCCCTGTCATCACTGACTGCATGCACACCTTGTCCAGCTCTCAGGTCCCAGGAGCAGCAGAGGAGATTCAGCCCATGCTGTTTACTGAGTCCGCCTCCACCCCCACTATTTCCTCCACCCCCTGCTCTTTGGCGCCGCAACAGTCATGTGAGTCAAAGTCATGTGACTTTCAATCGTGGAATATCTTACTGTTGATATGCCCTTGGAAGATTTCCAAACCGCCCCACACTTAATTTGTCTTGACCCCCAAATAACATCATTTCAACACTCATCTGCAGGAAGACATGGCTAAAAAAGGCCTTTAATGTGCATTGTTATGAAGTCCAGACATTCATTTCTTTGACAACCTTTATCAATATCAAACATATTAAATAATCTAAACAATACTTAGAAAGCTGTAAAAGAAATACCTTTTTTTTTTTCTTCTACAGAATGAAGAGATTGATGGTCGTGAATCAAAGCCAGGCAATGGTCCCAAAGGTTCTTACTGCGTACAGGGATTCCCAGGGCCCGCTGGCCCCTCTGGACCTCAGGTAGGATCCAGACTCTTCCCACACATCATGGTTCATCACAGAATTAATAATGTTGTGTAGATCTGGCATCACCATCATTACACCATTCCAACACACCTCATCACAGACTGTCTCTGGGGTTTCAAGGTGTTGAGAATTAGTCCTCCAACAACATATTAGCCCAATATCCTCTTCAACTTGAGAGTTCCTGCAAAGCAGGAGATGGGGATTTCTCTGGCCAGTGCAACACAGCGACCCATTAACGCTCTACATTTAGCTCAGACACAAATAGCCTTTTTCCACTGGCTGCCAGTGGCCCACACATCATTCTCAGAAACTATCCGAAGAGCTGTCGGCCTGGAAAGGCATACTGGGTCGCGTAGATTCCAGGGATTACCAACACAAGCATGTGCCCATGTGTTTGTGTACTTTGGTGGTGAAAGATTGAAAGACGTTTTGGTTTAATAGGTGCTTGCAAATCCAACCTCATCCTCTGTTAAACCAGCATTTTGTAAGCGAGAAGCAGATTGACCAAATGATTGTTAGCGCTTTGCCCATCTCAGGCTGTTACAGCACCCACTGGACTGCAGCAGCGTTCCCGTTTATCAAAAGAGACCCACAAGGCACTTTTTAAATCAATAGTGGCCTCTCAGCCTTTAGCTAATTGAAACTGCCGCTGTGTCCTCCCTGCAGAAGCAAACATGACTTTGTGGTGGAACGTTGTGGCCAACAAAACTCATTTAGATGGATATCTCTGAGATTTATGAGCTTATGCCATCATTTGATTGTTTTTTTATGTTCATCAGGGTCCACCTGGTTTACCTGGAATAGAAGGGGGCAAGGGAGAGAAGGTAAGCAGTTAACATAATAGATATACATTTTAAATCTATTAATTATTTTGTGAAGTCAAGTTTATCGACCTGTTGCACATGACTGAAACTGCTCGCTGGAAGTTAATTAAATGGATGCTGTCCTTGTCCCCTCCTCCGCATCCTGTTGTCAGGGAGAAATCGGAAGACCTGGGCAAAAGGTGAGAGTCTCCATTAATCACTCTATATTCTCCGCTAAGTGGATTTACTCAAATATGAGATACAGAGCCTGCGCCTCCTCGCGAGCTGTAACTCAGAGGGCTGCCAGGGCCTGTTGTGTACATCAAGGAATTGTGTGCTAGAACAACCTTGACAAGAGACAGCACAGAAACACTGACATGATGCGAAGGAGGCAGAGCTGCTGAGACAGGCTGTTATAAAGACAGAGGGATGGTCTCCTCTCACTGACAAGCAGCATATCTCCTCACTTTACTCCTTTAAGACACCCAGCATCATACCTCTCTGTCAGATGTCCCTCCCTCTCCATTAGGAGAGCAGAAACAAGCCCACACAGCTTGATTGTAAAGTGACCTCCTTAAACGATCGGCCACTGTGGGCGAGCATCGAAAGCGTCCCAGTGGGAGAGCCTCCCCGGCGGGTTGCCTGACCGAGCAGCTTTGCAGCACTGCAGTGCAATTTAGCTTAGTGCTTCAGCCAGGTCATAAATCATTTTATTTCCCACAAGCACGGGCTCCTGTTCTATATACAGCCCATCATTTAATTAAAGAGAGCAAAGTGACAGGGCTCGTTAGAGTCATTCTCCCCCTACATGTGCAGCAGCGTTTGATAAAGACTGTAGCAGGCAGGCTGTCAGCTTATGCAGCAAATCCTCCACTTACATTGCTTTTCTTTTTTTAATCTGCAAAACTAAAAGGCATAAGGAGCCCTGATTTTATAATCACATAATTGCCTCTTCAGCTGGCGCAGTGTTTGTTTTATAATGTGTTTTTATATCGGAGATCATGTGTTGAAATGGATGTCTCCGGATAGGGTCGGTCAGGTGCCCCTGGACTTCCTGGGAAACTGGGACCAGCTGGATGGCCTGGACCAAGTGGGCCCAAAGTGAGTAAGTCAGATCTCATAATGTAGATGATATATTAAGTGACATGAGACCAGTAAGGGCCAACACAAGGTGGAGTAGGTGAGTGTTCGTTTTTCTATATGAATGCTTGATTGAAATAGTAAAAGAATAACTTGTAACTTCTACTTTGGGACATGCATCCAAATAAATGAAGCCTATCCACATGTGTCTTATTCCTAATGTTCTCTACTGTTTGTCAGGGGGAGAAAGGAGACTCAGGGCTTATGGGATTACCTGGAGCCAGAGGACCGATTGGGCCAAGGGTATGAGAAACATTCTGAACTACAGCGATGTAGGGTGATCTCACTTTCCCACTGCTTTATTTAATCTTACATATTTTGTGTCTTTCATTTAAGGGTTTACCTGGTTATAAAGGAGAAAAGGTATGTCATTCCTTCCTTTATTATCATTTAATATCAAATGTAATTGGATATTCATTTGCAATTACTGATATCTTTGTATATATTTGTATTCCTAAATCATGCTTTTTTTGTGTAACTAATAAAGGAAAATCATTTAAACCAGTGGTGGATGTTTCATTTGTCTTTTTTGCTTAAATCTGATTTTTGAAATGAACTCTTCATATCCGACATAACACAATGTGCTCCATCAGGGTTCTCGAGGAGATCGTGGTGAGAGTGGAGGAAAAGGCGACAAGGTGGGCAGAGTTGATCAGCAGCAGGGGTTGTTACCATAGCACTGCTATGGTATAGCAGCCATATTGTGCCTTATCTGCTGAATGCTATATTATCCTCTACTGTTCTTCGTCCACAGGGTGTGATGGGTTTCCCAGGAATGCTTGGACAGAAAGTGAGAAACAAATTCAAACAAGAAGGAGCTGTACATTTGTTCCACAGTATTACAACTTTTTTAATGTGGTCATGTTGAATGTTGAGTTTATATGATTGTCTTTGCAGGGAGAAATGGGTCCGAAAGGAGAACCTGGGATCTCAGGAAACAGAGGACCGACTGGCCGACCAGGGAAGCGAGGCAAGCAGGTGAGGAGTTTGTGGACATTCTCTTTGCTTTATTTCAAAACAGCACTAAATACAGTTATACATTTGCCCATAATTATCAAGAGGTGTGCCTCTCCCTATTGACATCCGCTCTGCAGTCTCTGTAGAAGCTTTTCAAAAACCACTGAACACCTAACTTTTTACATCGGCTTTTGTTTCTACTTGAGATGTGTGTGATGTGTTCTGTTCTTGTGTTTGTTCCTTTCAGGACTCCACGTGGTCTGTTTTTATGTTGACCTTACATTTCTGCCTCATGTTGTTATTGTATTCATGTTTCTGTGGTCTTTATTTTAACTGTTGTTCTTTCTTGTGAAGCACTTTGTGAATTCTATTTATGTGAAAGGTGCTATACTAACTATACTTATTATTATTATTATTATTATTAAGGAATTCTCTTTAAATGTCATTTTTTATTTGTACGCATTCAGGATTTATTTTTATTTTTTACCTTTTCGATTGAACCATACTGTGTATTTGTTGATGTTGTTGCAGGGAGGGAAAGGAGACACGGGTGGTGTTGGTCCTATGGGACCTGCAGGCCCTCAGGGGACTCCAGGCCACCCTGGTCCTCCGGGTTCCCCTGCCACAGGTGAGAACTTTGACCCTTTTCATTTTCTAACATATTTAAAACTCTTGACTACTTTTGAATTATGACATAATAATACACATTGTTCAGTTCAGTCAGGGACATTAATTTTCCTGCGTCCACTTTGAAGTGATTGGTGTGTGTGGCCCTACACTTTCGCTGAGTAGGGAAAAGCTGTGCTAGCAGTGTGAGAGGCAGCAAAGCCTGTGTCAGCGTTGGACCAGTGTAACACCGGTAGTCAGATTTAGCACCAGAGAAACTTTATCTCCCAAGGTGAAACAAGAGGCTGTGTTCATGACATCATGGGGCTAAAATGGATTCACAGATGACAAGCCTTTTTGCTGTTTACATAAATAATGTCACCAGATAAATACATTTAACATTTCATCTGTTATCTTGATCACATTTCAGAGTGAAGTTGGTTGCTTTTACTTCATAATAGATGAATTCAGGATACTACAATTCATGACATATGCTATTTCTACAAGTTACTCTACACTTTAACACAGCTTCTCACTTCAGTTACATGGAACTACACATGTTAAGCTATATTTATGTGTATGTTTAGGACTGTACATGGTTGGAACAAAGGGGGCTCGTGGTCCACCGGGGTCTCCTGGAAAGTGTAGCTGCGGCTCTCTCAGCAATTCTCCAATTGAGGATTATCCTTCCAGAGGAAACTATCTTAAAGTACCTGCGGTGAGTATTTAATATGCTATATACAGTTTTTTGTAATTTACTTTTGATATTGACAAATCAAATCCAAAAAACAAATATACTGTATGTATGTAAAACCTCTGATTACTGTAACTACATGTTATTTTAACCTAGGAGTTTAAAAACAAAACAGGTATTGTTAAGTTTGAATACATTTTGCGTACATGTATTAATGATAAAAGATTTTAGTGATAAAAGTATGCCTGTGAGGGACATGGATGTTGCTCTGAGATGAATACTGCCATATTAGATATTAAATGTTGATGCTCCATATCTCAAAATTGCATTTCAATGGGCCTTGATTTCAAAATCCACATCAATTTCTTCACTCAGATATTTGTTGTAAGCAATGAGGAGGAACTGGAGCGCCTTCACACAGATAATGCTCTGGCATTCCGCAAAGACCAGAGATCTCTCTATTTCAGAGACATTGATGGCTGGCTGCCGATCCAGGTATCATTGCATTCAGCAAAATGAGTTTGTTTCATATTGTTTGCAAATGCTGACTTTAAAAGCAGTTTTCTTTTTTTTTTTTCAATGTTTTTAACTCTTTTTTAGACTTTCCCATTCCCAATGACGCCGTTCCAGTCCATGGAAAACGCACCTGATGATGAGGGTTACTGCGGTGACGGGACTGTGCAGATTTCCACCGGGGAGCAGTGTGATGACAGCAACAGAGTCGTCACGGACGGCTGCGTCAGTAAGTCATGTTCGGTGGTCTATAATAGCTCCTTAGTTCCACTTTGCTGAACGCATATAACATGACCCCTGCACCTCTGCTGTCTCCCCTTACCACAGAGTGTAAACACGCCTACTGCGGAGACGGATACCGCTATGAGGGGGCTGAGGAGTGTGATGGAAAGGACTTTGGATACCAGACATGTAATTCATATCTTCCAGGGTAAGCACAGTATACAACTGAACACAACTCGATATTCAGAATCAAATATCACATATTTTTTTACCAAATACCTTAATATCAATATTGTGACGATAGTGTAGGGTTGGTCATTGATGCTTTCACAAAATATGTAGACTTTTTTGATTAAATCTTTATCAAGATTTCAAGATTTCAAGGCTTTATTGTCATTTGTACATTAGCTACAGTGTCGATTCATGTCAATGAAAAACGTAGACCAGGCTCCTCCAACAGTGCAACATATATAGGACATAGAACAAATAAAACAGATAGAATAGTGCAAGTAAATACAAATAAAATAGACATAGTGCAAGAAGATTCTATATACAAGTAAATGGAATGTGATATATTAGATAAATAATTTGCAAGATGCAAACAGATGAATGTTTATGGATGTTCTTTCAAAAGTTCAGGGGCCTCATTTATAAACGGTGCGTACGCTCAAAAGATGGCGTACGCCAGTTTCTAAGCAATGTTTGCGATTTATAAAAAACAAACTTGATGGGAAAATGTGCGGTCCTCCACGCAAACTCTGACCCATCCGTATGCGGTACGCACAAAAACGGGAGAGACGAGAAACTGCGACACATCGGCACTTGAGACTCCTCAGTGCACACAAAAACGTAACTTGGAGAAATAAATATATACGGATATGTTATTGAAAACCACCTCGAATATGTTGTCTTAATGTTATGACATGTATTCTCATAAATGATGCGGTATGCAGAAGGACAGAATTACGTCTAAACTGAGGCCGTTTTGCATTTCTATAGGTTGTATAGATACGAGTATGGTTTTATATACTATCATGTTTAATCGTGTTTTATGCCGTTTGCTAAGACTTGATAAGTCGCTCATAAAACACAGGAGGTATGGAAACTAAGAACACCATATATTTGGTAGATTTGGCAGCTGATATTACACAACACATTTGTTTTATTTCATTTAAGTGGTGGATAGAGTTGCTGCGGGGGGGTTGAGACGCATGGCTGCAGTGGAGACGCTGCGCACAGCTGATCGACAGCTGGAACACAAACCACCAAATAAAAAACAAAAAACATTAATTGACTCCACTCCGCAGGGATCCCCCGATACTTTCTTATAGTTTCTCATCAAGGGGGTGTCTCCTGTCCCCGGTACAAACACACTGCCTGAGGAAGGTTAGGTTATGTGTATTTTGTCATTAACTTTTTTCGGACCACTTATTTATTTATTTTGGTGACGATCCGACCTCCTTGCTGCTACTCTGGTTCAAACTGCATCCACCAAACAATGTGATTTGTCTCCACCTTCCCAAAAGAACCAAAATCTGACACGGTGTGAAATTTCTTTTTTAGCTGTTCTGTCGTCATTTCCTGCGATCTTCTTCATGCAGTCCGTCAAAATGAATATTAATACGGGGCGTTTCTTTGACTATTTATAGGCAAATATGGGCGTTACGTCAAGCCCGCAAAAGCTGCGCCGCATTTCGAGTTGATTGTGATTTATAAAGGGAAACCGGCCGGTACGCAGTGTTTTATAAATCGGAAAATGTCTGTGCGTATTTATTTGCTTTGTCCTACGTAAGCAACCTTCCCACGTGAATCCTACGCAAGGCTTTATAAATGAGGCCCCAGGTGTTTAATAGTCTTCAGTAAGTGGGTAAAAGCAAATAAAAAAAACAGCTAGTGTATAGATAGTATCTGTAAAGTTCGGAAATGATATTACTTTACTTTAATGCATCCTTTAAAACCAGGCAAGGACAACACTATTCCAAATCTAAGAACATAATAATCCAGTATAATGATTTCTCATTCGACCTCCTGCACATCAACACACCCATCCGCACTCTCAGGTCTTCTGCTTCCCTCCACCTCACTGCACCCCCCTTCCGTTTAACCACCATGGGGTCTAGAGCCTTCAGCCGCTCTGCACCCCGCCTCTGGAACTCTCTCCCCATTTTCAAATCACCTCTCAAAACACATCTCTTCACACTTGCATATCCACCCTGATCATTATCCATCACACATCCTCTGTTTTATTTATTTGATTGATTTATATACTGCATTGTCTTGTTTATGTTTCTTATGCTGGTGTTATGTAAGTTGTATCTTGTTTTTTATGTGTTTGTACGGCGACCTTGAGAGCCTTGAAAGGCGCCTATATAAAATAAATGAATTATTATTATCATTATATAACATCAACATATTAACCAACTCTATACAACTGTGAGAAATGTTATGTTGCCATGTTTAACAAAAAGTGATGTTTCTCCTGTTATTTGCAGGTCATATGGTCAGCTCAAGTGCTCACCCTACTGTGTTATCGACTCTACAAACTGCAAGTACTTCACATGATGAGGAAGCTGGACAGTGCAGCGAGATCCTCTGTGTGCTCTTTGAAATATTTTCATGCAAAAAAAAAAAGAACAATAATACTTCAAGCAAAAAGACTCTGAGGGTAGCGGCAGCCTATGAATCTGAATATATATATTATACATAACTTCTCTGTATTGCTGCTGAGATGCCACGTAGCTCCCCGGAGTTGTATTCGGCGAGTGGAGATGAAAAACCTTCACCCACACTTAGGAAATGCACAGGACAACTGCACTCAGTCTTAACAAGCAGGACTTAAGACTGGCCTCCTCTCCATGAATCAGCCTCTGGGTGCAACAGTTGTGCAACAGCCATGCCGAGACTTAATTAAGTGGGAGATGTTGCAGAGGAGCAGTAGCCGGGCCAGAGGCATATTTCTATTGACCCAGTTACTGTTGAGAAACAGTGGCCTCAGGTATTCTACTGCAGCGCCAATGACAGCGCACAGCATTTGCATGAGGCTGGGATTACTGTGACAGCAGCTGTCACTATCCAAGCATGTTAACAATCAATATACTTATTATTGCCACGACTAGGCCAGTACTGTGTAGGCATCAACCATTTCAGTTATAAAAGGTTAAACCATGCAAATAGTTAGATCAAAAGTATGGTTAAGGATGGAGATAGAGGTGCATGAATTATGCACTTGGGATATTTCAATGAGTCCAATCATTAGCTTGTGGTGGAACTGTGATTGACAGGGACTTTCAGTTTCGACAAGGTTTCACAAATCTCCCCGAAAGAACTTCTCAGGAACCAACAGGTAATGTAGCTCCAAACAGCACCTTTCACAGGCACCCCCCCACTACTCCTTTTGTAAATTAAATGGCAGTGACTGTACGCTTAAGCACACAGATAACTCAAGGTTCTTCTCTGTGCTTTAGTGAGAAATACTACTGTATATGAAGGCTTGAAACTGTTAATGTTCTTAATTCTCTCACTAAACAGGAAAGGCTGTGATACTCTGTAGCTGCTAAAAGGGGGAAGAATTACAATTCCAGCCTGTCCTATGGTCATTATTGTATTTAATCTAATACCTCTTTATCCAGTCTTTTCTGTCTTACAGTATATACACAGAAACTCAACAGTAAACTTAACAGTGTAGATGTAGTCTGCTGTGTGTTTGGCACCAATGGTGAAAATGACCGATATAAGCTGACTTTTCCATAAGCTAGTGTATAGTCGCAGTGCCAAGGGAGACTTGTTCTCAGCCATATTGATACTGTACGTGTAGGTGTTATAAAGGGATTATTCTGTACGAAAAAATGTAAAGATAAAGACTGTTACTGTATTGTCTCCGCATGCTTGTGATACTGTGCTTATTAGTGTGAAACGCTTCCACTGTTTTGTAAATCATTGCAATTGACAGTGCATTAGGTGTCTTAAGAAATCTCAGTCTTGCTCTGCACAGAGTGTAGCTAGTTGTACGACACATCTTGTATGAAAATGATGAACTGTGCCTTGCACAAAGATGAAATACCTTTTGGAAACTGTGTTGAATGTCCTGTCTGTGGCCTGTCTGTCTGTGCTGTATCCTGTACTGTGTATGCACAACGATGCTGAAACATAACATGCATGTGGTAACGTACTGTTCAGCTTTATCAAATAATGTATGCACTGTGACTGGGATGAGGGAAATTATTTTTTGTTTCATTTCTCTGGTATGATTTATACAGTAGTTGGGGATAATTTTAAAAAGAAATAAAACCTGAATAAATAATTCAAACCTGCTGCATTTTTCTACTTCAATCAGGTTTTGCTAGCGGCTTTGCTTCCTGTGTTATTAGGAAGTGGTGACAGTGATTCGAAGCTGTGGAATAGACAGTGATAGAGACGCTATTGACGTTCTTTCAGGGTTCTCGATGTAAGCTCAAAGCTGATATCTATCAAGTGGGAAAAAAGGAGTTGTCAGCAGCTCCTGGTAGAGTGCTGCGTTAGACTGTAAGAGCAGGCAGTGAACTCTTGCTGTTCTCAGAAAAGGCAATGGGTTTTTTCAGCTTTTCATTCTGTCTCGATGGACCCTTAGAGCTGAGTCTGGGCCTAGACATTATGCACATTGTTACAGGTTGGGGACGGGCAGCCATCCAGTGTGGCCGCAGAGATGTTTGAGACGGGAAGCACCATATAACTTCATTAGCATGCCGTATTTCTTTTCTAAATCACATTAGGACAATTTGTCTGCTGAGATGCCCGAGTAAAAGCCTACCGTGCTGTATTTACCCCATCATGTGCATTCCCCTGACTAGACCAATCAGATTTGTGCCACAGATACTGTAGCTCAGCACTGCACTAAATGTCGCTGGAGATGCAGTGGCCCACACCGTAGTGAAGTTAGTTTTAGGTTGGATTTCAAAAGGCATTCATTAAAGATCCAGCCTAGTCTTCTTGCTCAGTTTCAAAGAATGTTGGCAGTCAGAGGCCAAGCCTTCACTCCCAACCATTTAGGGACCATCAATAAATTAGACAAAACCAATGTTATTCTCAAAAACGCTGTGCTATCTTGCCCATATTAGGGAAGATTGTTCCAAAAACTATAGTAAATGTAATTTGGCACACCTTCTTTATTACTGATGTGTCTTGAATTGATGTTACTTAAATATTTTAATAAAAGATTATGCGATGCCATCTGACCTAATGACCACTAAACTTCGACTGTAACTATTTGAAATTAGAAGAAGAAATTAGTGTATAGCAACAAAGAAACCCCCCCGGGGGTCGCGAGATGATTAAAAAAAATTCAAATTAAGAAATAATCATTTCAAATTAAAAGTTTTTTTTAATTATTATTATTATTATTATTAATAATAACGTGTGCATAGACATTTTTCAGGGGTGGACTGGCCATCTGTAGAATTTCCCCGCAAAGAGGTATCATGCAATTGTTTTGCTTTGTGTCATTAAAAGGTAATTTATTGATGGTCCCTTAGTGAAATCCTGGGTTTGGGTGTGAGCGAACCATCTCCTGACTGCTGACAGTGTGTTTAAATAAATGAGAAGTCACCGCTGGATCCAGAGTGAATGTACCTAAAACTACCCTCACCGCAATGAGATAAACCTAATTCTACTGCCCTGGGAACCTGTAAGACTTCTTTTAAAAGTCAATGTATAACTAACTGGCCTCAAATTAAACTTGTAGGAAGCAGGATCTCTATTTTGAGCTGTCGCGTGTAATTTAGTTGATGAACTGAAATCCAACACTTTTTCCAACAAAAGGGGTTATTTTAGTGCATGTTGGCCGGTGTAGCATTACAGCTGTGGGCAAATGGGTAATGCAAATGAGGCCACAGGGACAGGAAGCAGGCAGCTGTTGTCCCAAGGCAAGGGAAAATCCCTGACCTATAAGCAGGAATGGCTGGCATACACAGCGCTGTAGTCTCTACTGGTGCCCATGCAAAACCCTCTGAGCGAGGTATGCAAAGGTGTTGTAGAGCTCAGTGTCCCTGTTGTTTACACAGACTACACCTGTGCAGACTTACCATCTATTGCTTACTCATGGGTTTGTTTCAATAAAAGTAAGTGAGGATAAATGAGACACTCCTTTTACACAATTTTTTAATGAAAAATGTTTCACAAGACACGTATTAAAACAACCTCATTATTTATTATGTAAAAATCAATTGGCATCTTATATACAGTAGTAAAAAACAAAACAAATTAAATGTTTGCAATATTACATGTTCATTGGAATTTATCTGCAACAGGAAGTCAACCCATTGCACAACTGGGATGTAAACTTGGTGAAAATGCCTAATTTTATAAATAATTACTGTATCCATTCCCAACAAAAGAAACAACTACTGACAGAATAAGGTTAAAAAATACTATGTGGTATGTCTTCGTTAAAAAAAAGCCCTATGAGGATGTTCCAGTTTTGTCTAAAATGTTCAGTCACAAAGCCATTTAGACACATTTTACCTGGCCAAAAGGAGGAATTATACCATTCAGATTTACATTGTTGAATCGACATCATAAAAAATATTAAATAAAATATTAAGTACAGCTGGTAACAACACTCAAGTTTATGCAGAACATGGCTGAGATGACTAGCTGAATGTTGCTGTTCATTATTAGTACAGAGATAAAAGAGAAGCAATGTTTATAACTTGCCATCCCTTTAGGATTATGTATTAACTTGGCTTAGGCCTTTGCCTATAATAAGTTTCCACTGGCAACTATATTTCATAATTCATAAAAACATGCAATCAATAAACATGCTCTATGGAAACAAACCCTTACATTCACACAAGAGCTGAGCTGCAATGATCCCCATGACATGTGAACTTCATAACTTAAGACGTAATAAATAGACATTGTGAAAACGCATTCTATGCATAAGTTTGTGCAGAGGATGTCCACAAAAGTATTCAGCAGTTGTCAGTACTTTATCAGCTATTATTAAGTTATTTTGTGTTGTGGTACTATAGGCAGCAGAGGATAAGCCATTCCCATGACAGCTCCTTTTGGTCCCACGGAAACTCTCAATTTTAGCATTATAAAATGATACATTGTCAAACTGCAGGATTTATACTAGAACATAATTCAGGGAAAGGAAAATCAATATACATCATAATGTCTAAACTTCAATAGTCAGTGCAGTAACTATTTTTTTACATCACATACTCAGAGGCACATTGTTTTTGTCAAATACTGCTCTTTGTTAGTTGCAAATATTCCTCTGTTTTATAAATCGGAGGAAACAGGATTTGATTAATTAAAAAATGTCTTTACATAATGACATTTGGAAAGACAGGAAAGTTATTAGAGCAAAAATACCTTGTGGTTATGTACCTGTACATAAAAAAGCCACAATACTGCCACAAAGTGTGCACCAGAAACAAATGTCACCGTGAAATATTATGCTTGGATTCTGCATAATAGGGTGTAAACCCCTACTCTGTTAATGGTCTTTGAAACAAGACCCAGAAACTACATTTTGACAAACCATAATGTCTTAAGGTTAACGCGTGTCACCAAATACAGACATTAATACCTTCTTTAAGACCCTCTACTGTTGTAAAGGTTAACAACCACTGAAAACACCTCACACTGACACGAGACATGCTCACACTACTTTGTACACAAAATGCACAAGATCCGGCACCTTCCTTCATCCTCTCTTGGGGTTTCACACCACTTCATCAGACTCCAGGTTGTATTCTTCATACAGGGCATCTAGGATGGTCAGCTGATTCTCCATGGCTGGCAGGTACACTCCCAGGTCTCTGTAAACGCCGCTGGTGAAGCTGCTTTTCAGCTCATCGCCCTCTGTTAACACCAAGGCCGCGGCAAAACTTTGATAAGACGGTGCAGCTCTCAGCGCCAACTGAGGAAATAGAAGCATGCCATTGTTACACGCCAAGAACAGATCAACCTCAGAGGTGGAAAAGCATCGTTGGGAATAAGAAATACCTACAGCAAAAACGCCTCGCACGACCCATCCGTGGTACTGCCGGAGAGTCTTTCCATAGGCGTTGTCTGGATGAGAAAAAGAAAAATGAAAAGTCAAAGTCAACTTTATTATTAATCTTTTAGTTTGTGTGTACAGACAGAGAGGTCGAAATACCGTTTCCCACAATCCCGAATACAAAAACAAATATATATAAAAATATGTATATACACACACAATCAAAAGACATTTATACATATGCACACATTAAGACCTAAATAAAAGCACAACAATCAATATATACAAAATAACAGTCACTTCAATATCTTTGAGAATGTACATTATTGCAAGACTGTCCAAAAAGTGTCTGGTGCTGGATTTGAGTGTCTGAGTGTGTGTGGTGTTAAAGTCCATGTCCAGTGGGGGCAGAGGGGACTAAGAACATGCAAACAGTTACATGCATTTGAACGTATTTGTTGACGTGGGGCGTAAAAAAATGAAAATCGGACTCACTTAGCGCTCCCGGGATGTCTTTGGTTCCTGCGTTGACCTCTGACAGGAACTCTTTGAGGAACTTCAGGCCTCGTCGGAGCCACAGCAGAGCCTCTGTGGCCGAGTTGCGGACCCGGGCGTTGCCTGTCTGAACTTCATGCAGCACGATGGACTGGAGAGTGGGGAAGCTGCCCGGGGCTGAAATCAGCTTCTGGTTGATTTTCTACAGGGTGAAGAGACGGGGTGATAAAGTTACATAGATGCTGAAAATAAATCCTGATTCTACTCTGCTATTGGTAGCGATTTGCATAAAAACTAAATGATACAACTCTAAACTATAAGAGAGATATGTCTGATTCTTTACAGAATACAGAACATCTCTTTGTTTACAGACAATACAGTAGATCGTAAAGTAATGTTGATTCATTCTATCATTCACTAGGTTTTGCATAAGACCTGGAGACATTTAAAACAACGACGTCATCCTTTCTCTGTAGTTTAATAGTGAAATCTGCTGTAAGAATACATATCAATGACATGCACACGTACCTTGATGTTTCCAACAAAATCCATTTTAACTGGTGCAAACACAGTGGATCCCAGCTTGTCTGAGAAGAGAAAATCCATGATAATTTCTTTTGTTTCTTATGAAGTAAATATGCTTATGTTATCTGTCCTATTATTAAGACTGTACAATGATAATTGTCAGTCTTGAAAATGCAGCTGTCTTTTTAAAGCAATGATGAAGAGGGTCGACCACCAGCTGTGAAGGGAAAATAACTGAGGCTTGTGACACTAGACGACCTAAGAACCAGAGCAATTCTGAAAGTGGCTGCATGACGTTAA